TAGATTTTTTTTTTTTTTTGTAATAAACCATCACAAAGTGATTATTCTAGATCTGATTTGTTAGTCATTCTCAAAGGAAATTGGCACAATAATTTCAAAAGAGGAGCCCGGGAATGTAAATTCATAATTTTACCAGACACTACAAATAATAGATTGAATAGAGACACTGGATTTATGGCTTACTGTAACCCTCAGAGTTGCTCCCCAGTTCCTTCCATCTCGTGACTGGGGGGGAAGAACTTCACCTTGAATAGTCTCCTAAAATATGCATTAACTTCTTATGCTAAACAACCTGTTCCACTTTGTACACAGCTGACACACTTTGAGGCCTACATTGCAGAATCAAGTTCGTGTCCATGTAAACCCTGCATTACTTACATCATTTGTTAGCTGCACAAGGAGCTCACATCTGGAGCCCCAGGGTGCTAAATTAAATTTGTGGAAGCACTCATGTGGAGGATATGGACTGCCAACAGAAGAATTGTGTGGATGTGAAACACCATTTTAATTAATTAATATAGTGGCTGTACATCAACTTAAGACAATTTTGTAGTGTAGACATGACCTGAGCAAATTTCACAGATCTGAAGAAGAGCTCTGTGTAAGCTTGAAAACTTCTCTCTTACCAACAAAAGTTGCTTTTCCAATATCCTGGGACCAACACAGCTCCCACAACACTGCATATAAAACTAAGTACAGGTTGAATCTCTCTAGTCTGGCACTTTCTGGTTTGGCAACATCTGTGGTCCGGCATGATTTTAGTTAGATGGCCACATCCTTCATAAATGGACAAGTTTCCCACAGTCCCATAAAGTCTGTTTATAGCCATCAGTCCCAAGAGTTTCAGACTTGAGAGGTTCAACCTGTAGTCATAGGACAGGAAAAACAATAGCAAACCCCATGGATACAACAATACTGCATACAACAAGGAAGACAGACATGATATACTGTGACTGCTGCTCGGCTTTTAGGGCCTGATTTTCACTGATTACTTATTTGCACCCAAAACTGTACAACTTTTGATTTTTTTTTAAGTAAATGTGATGTGCACATGTGTTTAGGGACTTTATTTTTAATGACCCCCTCATGGCACGTTCTGTGCCAAGTAGATAACATTTTGTGGCATACATTTGAGAGAGAGATTACTGTGGTTTTTCAGCATAAAATCCTTTATTATTAAAAACCTAGAATTATTAGTTTCCTGTATCTGCAAATTTATTTAAGTCTGATGGCAGATATTGATTGACTACAGACATAAAAGAATAGTATTCTACCTTGGGGGTAATAAAATCTTGATGAAAATACAAGATAGTAGAAAGCAGTCTGAGTTTCCTTAAAAACATTTGAATGCATGCACAGAGTACAAGGAAACAGATTAGGTAATTGTAGTTTTCAGAGGAAGTTTCATGATACCTATTTGGAAACAGTATTGTGGGATTGGAGAGCTATGGTTTTGATCTTAAG